CAAGGGGGATATAATTGGGAAGATATGAGTTTGGTGTTATAGGTCTAACAAGATGGCCATTGGTTGGTTGAAGCTGTGTGAGGGAGGGCTCCTTGTAAGATTCTCTACTTTTGTTTGTTGGGATTTTTTAAAGACGTATTTATTTCTTTAGAGAGAGTGTGTGCACGCAAGTGCTCAAGCAGGTGGGGGGGGGGGTGCAGAGAGAGAGGTAGAGAAGCAGTCTCTACCCCGAACCTGATTCGGAGTTCGATCTCACCACCCTGAGATCATGACCTGAGCCCAAACCAAGAGTCAGACACTAAACTGACTGAGCCACACAGGCGCCCCTGATTCTCTGCTTTTGTACTTTCCCTAATATACAGTGGTTAGAAACATCCACGTGGGTGGCCCATCCAACCTGATCGCCTTTCAGTTCCACATTCCACTTGAGCCACACACCACAGTCATAATCCTGGACCTTGGCTCCTGGAGCCATGCCAGCCCCTCCAGCCCCTCCACCCTCCTACTCTTTCACCATGTTGAGGCCTTTTATTTGAGGGCCTCTCCATTTTCTCCAGTCTCTCAGATACCTTCGGGCTCCATCACCTTTCCTCTGGTCCAGAGCCCACGGCTGAGCACTTCAATCACTCTCTTTCTCCTCATCATTGACTTTTGCCCTCTTGTCCTTACACTGTTTCTAGAGGCAAAGCCTAAATCTGGACCAGTCTAATTAGGTCTCTGTTCTTACACCCAAGCTACAACAGGCTCCCTGGCACATGCCGGTTGGAAGCACAGCACATTGATTATCTCTGGCCTCGATAAACCCTAACATTGTGGAACAATCATTTGGTGTGTCTCTGTGTCCTTCACTGGCTCCAAGCTCCCTCCTCTTCCATCTCACAGCTCTCACCCTGACTCTTCACTCATAACTCTCAAAAAACAATGAATATTTCACCAAGAAAAGCAGGATCATGAGATGCAAACTCTGTGAACTTTCTCTACCTCAAATATAAACTTCTTTCCACCTACTCCCACTCTTTCCTCCATGTCTCTTGTTCCAGAGGAAGAGATACCTCTATTGACCTGTGTTCTAGAAACCACTTCTCCCACCTCCTGAGGAAAGTTAACCACCATTTATTCCCCCTCTTGCCCTCTTGGCGTCTTCAACTCTTTAACATCCTCAATATCTTCTCAATCTCCCTTTCTCTTTCTGTCTGTCTTTCTTCTGGCTTTTTCAATGCTTTCCCATCTGAAGAAGAAAAATGTAAAAAGCTGTCTTCCTGGCTTCTATTTCCTCTTGGTTTCACTGCCAAACTATTTTTCACTATTCCCTCTTCAGCCCTCTATTTCTAGAATCACCAATGAACTACAGAGGTGATTGCCAGACGTTCGCCCATCCTTTACCTTATGTGACCTCTGATTGACATCTACACGCATAGGAAGCACTAGTAAGGTGGTAAAGAACTTGGAGACAACCCTGAGAATACAAACCAAATCCACAATTGCATTATCAGGCTACACAGAGACATTTGGAAAACATATGATGGAAAAACTAAAAAGCATTCAAGTGTCAGAGATTAATTCCAGGGAGAGAGGTTTAAACTCTACAAATTAGTGGTGGAGATCTACGTTCTCCAGAAGACTGCATAGTCAGAAAGTGCCACTCAGACCAAAATAGAGCAAAACCCATCCCCTGGTGCTCCCTCTAGAGAGGCAGGGGGCTTGATGGAAGTTTAAGAAGACCTTTGCTTCTTCTTGATCACTTGAATCAAAGAATGAGAATTAATTCATATTAAATATATAATTAAAAAGAAGTTAAAAAAAAAACAGAAGATGCTAGTGAAAGTAGCCAAAAACATTCTGTTTGGTTCTATTTCTATGAAACCAAGCCAGTACATTCTGTGTAGTTCTATTTCTATGAAACCAAGTAAAGACAAACTGATCTATTACAAAGTAGGTCAGAACAGCTGCTATTCTGGGGCTGTACAGACACGAGGGGGCATGAGGGAGCCTGCCAGGTGCTGAAAACATTTAATATCTTGAATGTGCCAGAGTTATCACACAGGTATGTACCTATGAAAAAGCTCATCAAGTCTTAAGATCCATGACTTTTATTGTGTGTAAATTATACCCAAATTAGAAGTTAAATAGAAGGAGATTTATTTTCTAAAGTGAAAAATAAGGAAGAAAAAGAAGAGCTGTTCATTGGGAGTGACCTCCCTAATCCAAGAATGCAGTTAGGGCAGGAAGACTAAGGAATTCCGACTGTATGGCCGGGACTCGGTTCTGTGCTGAGATCCCATGTTGAGCAATGGGGCTTTGTGATTCCTATTTGAGCTCGGGGGGGGGCGGGGGGGATGCACTGATCCACCCATGTGCTTATGGGCATGCACTTGACACTGGAATGTTTTCACTGTGATTAATAAGTTGACATTCTGACCTGGATAGATCAGTCTCTGGAAACTCAGCTAATAGTTATTAGTACTCCTGGTCTCAGAGGAGCCAGCGGCCCTCAGAGCACTCACAAATGTGCTACTTCTCTGGCTCTGCGAGGCTCCTCTCTTGCCCAGACCACCCAGGAGTCAGCCTGGTGCCTGCCCCTGACAGTGGCCTGCTTTCTCTGTGCTGTTCCAAGAGAGGGTAACAGGTGCAGGTGGATGGGTAACAGAGAGGGTGCAAGAGAAAGTAACAGGTACAGGATGATTCTTAGAAATCCCAAACTCAGCTCTCTGCACCTGTCTTTCCCCCTGCCTTTCATGGAGTTCTCGCCATTTCTCACCTTTACTTACTGCTGCCCCACCCCCCCTGCCACTACTGCTCCTCTGTTCCTTCCCACCTCCCATGTCCTCCTGCTTGGACCTTTTCAAAGGTTCCCCAGTTCAAGTTCCCATGTTCAAGTTCAAACCACTAGACATGGTTGAGGTAACAGTTTCACTGAGCCTGCAGCTACTCCACCCCACCCCTAATCCTGGCATACTTTCTGCTTCATCCAGTTTGCCACATTCATGAGACGGTTGACATTTTTGATGGGGCAACATTGTGGAGGACTATCCTGTGCATTCCAATTGGTTTAGCATCCCTGTTCCCACTAAATACCCATAGTACCCCGCCTTCAGACATTGTGAGGACTATAATATGCCCCCAGATATTTCCAAACACCTCCTACCTTTCCAACTGGGTGGCTCCTACTGGTCCCTCATACCTCAGCTTAAACATGGAACCATATACAATTGCCATCCTCGTGGTTCAAGAACATCGAGTATTGGCTACTTAATATGATTCAATCAAGTAGTTATTCCTTCTGGAAGCCCTCATTACAGATGCCCTACAGTACTCTGTGACTCTCTTTATCCAAGTGCTCACACCATGTGCGTAATAGCTGATTTTCTTGTCCCCTCCTTCTCACCTCCTTGCTCAGCCCTAATTACCTGGGAGCAAAGACCAAGTCCTAACTTTATCTCTTGGTATCACAAGCTTCACTTGGCTCCGTATACTAGGCACATAATAGGTACTCTCCCCATATTCGATAAATAAACAAACAGGATATTAAGCATACTTTCCCTGATGACTTAGTGTTATTTTTTCTGGGCATAGAGATGACTTTCAGGCTATTTGGGTCATTGACAGCTCTTGGCTCTACGCCCATGAGCCACCAATGCCTTGTTTTATGCGTTTGTGTCTGAGTTTTGTATCCTATCATCGGTATGCCTGCCTCCAGAGATCTTTCGTGGCCTTTGAATCTGAAGCAGATTGTCCCAGGTGCTGTATCAAGGCATGGACTTTGCTATGTAAACACTGTGATAGAAACTCCTCTGGTTCAGGAAACTTTCATCTTATTTCTGGATTCTTGCTAGGTTTCACACACCTCAAGTCTCTCCTCTGCTTAGTGAGGCAAGCAGTTTCTAGAACCCTCTGCTTGGTCACTTTCCTTTTGGAAACTGCTTAAAGATGATGAGAAGGACTTTTGAAATAGAGAAATGTTTCTTTGCCGAGATGCTCATTCCTGGGTCCCTCGCTGGTGACAGTGAGGGACAAAGGGATTTCTCAAGGTATTTTCTAAGTGGTTATTATGTCATGTAGTCACAAAGTATATGGGTACACTTTATTTTGAAAAGTTTTTTTTATTTTTTTCATGTTTTTTAATAATAAATTTATTTTTTATTGGTGTTCAATTTGCCAACATACTGAATAACACCCAGTGCGCATCCCATCAAGTGCCCCCCTCAGTGCCTGTCACCCAGTCACCCCCACCCCCCTCCCTCCTCCCCTTCCACCACCCCTAGTTCGTTTCCCAGAGTTAGGAGTCTGAGTTCTGTCTCCCTTTCTGATATTTCCCACACATTTCTTCTCCCTTCCCTTACATTCCCTTTCACTATTATTTATATTCTCCAAATGAATGAGAACATACACTGTCCTTCTCCGATTGACTTACTTCACTCAGCATAATACCCTCCAGTTCCATCCACATTGAAGCAAATGGTGGGTATTTGTCCTTTCTAATGGCTGAGGAATATTCTATTGGATACATAAACCACATCTTCTTTATCCATTCATCTTTCGATGGACACCAAGGCTCCTTCCACAGTTTGGCTATTATGGACATTGCTGCTAGAAACATTGGGGTGCAGGTGTCCCGGCGTTTCACTGCATCTGTATCTTTGGGGTAAATCCCCAGCAGTGCAATTGCTGGGTCATAGGGTAGCTCTATTTTTACATAAATAAACACTGAGCTATGGATCTCTAATGGAGCTATGGATTTTCTAATTTTTGTTTTGTATGACTTTGACTTAAAAAACAAAACAAAAACCCTTTCCATTATAATTCATATAGAATGAAATCCAGGACCATAGGAAACAGAGATAAGGGGAACAGCCAGGCAGAGGTGAATGGGGAAATATGATTTCCCCTCCAAGTTTTATATTTACAATACCTTTAAATATTTAAAAAATCTTTTAAATATATATCTTAATAAGTGCTATATAACTTGATCAACAAGCAATTTTTATTTTATTTTATTTTCAATATTTACTCTTGCCATCATTTTTCTCTTTTACAGGATAATTACAACAGTGTAGGAAACAAAGGATATAGAAGAAGAATGTTAAATTGTTTTGGACAAATAGCTCGCTGCTTACAAAAAGTCCATATAACCTCATTCCTCTGAACACAACATTATACATCATACTAAACATGAATAGCTTATAGGAAGTTAGTATTAAATAGAAGAAACACAAAAAACATATATATATATATAAATAACATAAAATAGAGTTTGACTCTAATGTGATGCTTAACAAAGCAAACTATGATGCAATATGTATCAACTTCATTAATTGGACAAGTCCCCTGAAGCACAAATCAAGTATGTGCTAAACTCTCAACCACCAACTCCAGCTAGATTCTTTTTGTTCATGGGTTCTGTCCAATTCCATTCCAGAGAGCATCAGCTTTTTACAACTTCTTGACTCTATGGCTGTAGAGAAAAAAAAAAAAAAGAAGGAAAAAATAAGCAAAAACAGGGCAACCAGCTGGGAGGAATGGCTTTTGTGCCTGAAGGTTGCCCCTCACTCCCTCATCTCATCTCAGGATGCCAGCAGCTCAGAGTCCAGAGGAGATAATCGAGGTTCAGAGAGGAAAGGCCTTGCCCAATGTAACTCAGCTAGCTGATGACAGAAACAGGACCAAACACATATCTTTAAGTTCAGTGCCTGCTGCACCTTTGTGTTAGGTGACTTCTTTTCATATTGATAAAATTTTATTCTCTATTATCATTGATGTGGTTTGACTCAAATTTCCCCCCTTAAAATTCTACAGTACTGGGGTGCCTGGATGGCTCAGTCAGTTAAATGTCTGACTCATGATTTTGGCTCAGGTCATGATCTCAGGGTTGTGAGATCAAGCCCCGCATCAGCCTCCACACTCAGCAGGGGGTCTGCTTGAGATTCTCTCTCTCAAATAAATAAATCAACCAATCCTTAAAAACAATAAAATAAATACAATTCTATAGTGCTTAGGCATAAGGGTCCCAGCGAGCCTGTGATCCAGCATGGCCCTTGCCCCAGACATTTGAAGAGGAGTCAATGGCAAATGTCCCATACCTGAGGAGACGCACAGTCCGTTTCACCCATTTCTTCTTTGGATCTGCACACACAGCCTTTTTTTTCTTTGTGTAAAAGCTAAACAAACAAACAAACAAACAAACAAACTCAGAAAATGTGATTCGTGCTTAAAGAGTTTTGAATGGCTATTTCATAGAGTATGCAATGGAAATGTTGTATTCCAATGGACTGCTCTACCCACTAAGAATTTTATTTCAGAGGTGAAACATCACACCAAAAAAAAAATTGTTTCTGATAAAGCTTGCTGCAAGAAATGAAAGGATTCTCTCTTACATTCTCTGTATAAATAGATGTGCAATGACTGGAAAATAAGTCTCAGAACTGTAATTTAATTTTGTTGCTGGTGGTTACACAAAATATGTGTATATCCAACCAATGACCGATATCATTTCAAAGTATAACATCCTATATGAACCAAGAATAGTACATTTGAAAGTATAATAACTCTGAGTTTTTACATACAGCCCCAACCATTCTCTGGTAGAAGATGCTCCTTTCAAAATTTGTCTCTCGTATTTTCCCGAGATGGCATGTTAGTAGCTAATAAGTATATCTTAAAAAGTGATTTTGCCCTCAACTCTGTTTTTTTTAAGAACTAAGCTTTTACCTTATTCTAGTCCTATCTAAACTTTGAAATACCTATGTACTACCAAAACAAGCATATCTTTGCCACATCAATTATTTCTGAAACTCCAAAAAGGTAAAAATTTTTATACTTGAAATTCTCACATATTCCTAACACAATTGAATGACAGTCAATTAATAACTTACATAACGGCATTGATGTCACAAGCTTCATTGGCCAGCTGTTGTGTGAAGCCCATGATAGATCCGGCAGGAACGATATGTTCTGTATATCGAAGACAGCAATCAAAGTTGCTTGCTGCTGAAAAGAAATTAAAAGGATTGAGTCCACATGAATGAATGTATCCTGTAATAGGTATTATGGAACTAATTGAAGTTGTGATTGTATATGGTAAAGAAACTACTTAGAGAAACAGTTCCAATGTCTTTGAGGCCTGATTTAATGTAGTTTACAGCTCTTTAAAAAAAAAAAAGGCTTATGTGATGGGCGATTTGGGTTCAATAATATAGTTTAGAAGCCTATGACTTCTAACAAAAGGAATATCTTTAGTGAGAAACACAAACTGATAGTGTTTTAATTAAGATCATTATAACCACTCAAGAATAGGAGTATCTTCCACTTGGAGAAATAATTATAATATTACAAATTCAGAAAATGAATGAATATGGAGATTTCAGCCTATTACTTGGCTACCAAGCATTGAGAGGAGGGGAATGATAAGAAGTTACAAAGGAAAATGCACTTCATAGGAGCTGCAAAAGCACTTTGCAACTGTATTGGTCGAAATATTTTATTTTGTCCATAAAAATTCAATACGTGCATTTTCAGGAATGCACCTGTCGCTAAAAGGGATGTACTCGCATAGTCAAAAAAACAATATGCAGACACTACCCCAGGTTAAATTATAACCTACTGCAAGGTAAGGGATAAATACTATCTCTAAGTTGGCCAAAAATAGCCCAAAACCATGTAAGGATGGAGAAGTCAGATTCTATAATCTGCCCCTAAAGGATGAGTTTTGAACTCTACTAAAACTATTTAGGTGGAAAGTGAAAATTTTGGAAAAGTGGGACTGCTTCCCGCATTTCAGAATGACCTCATTCACATTACACAACTTACATCACTTCCAGAAATAGCACTTAGGCCTTGTTTTGGACCTTGAGGGTCTCTAAGAGTCCAGCCTGCACCAAATATCTGCTGGGATTGACAGCAGAGAAAAAGCCTAATCACCAGCAATAACCGTTCCCTCCTTACTCACCAATGAGCTGACAACTCCCATCACTTCCAAAGACTTTCTAGCACCCTCCCATTCCTTGGGGACACCCACGTAAGCTCAAGGCTTAGAGGAGAATGAAAACAGTTCTTCCACCTGTGTTAGCAGAAAGAATGATACTTACCTTCTGACTTGCTGCAGAGGTGGAGTAGCAGCACTGACATCATCAAAGCAGCCAGGAGCAAATTCTTGCTACTACACATCATTTTCAGCTCAAAGAATAGATCTGTTCAGTGCTGGGTACCCAGTGCCCTGAGAGTGCTGCTAGGTTCTGATAGCAGCCTGGGTCTGGGATGGCCCTACTTATAGCAAATATTGGGAATGTACACAGAAGGCGTGTTCTAACATGGGTTTTCCCCCATTGATCAACCTGCCCCATCATGTCGTCACAAAGAAAAACCACAGGGAAAACTTCCTGCCTTTCCCTAATGTTGGGAAGCTGTGAAGGTCAGGGTGAGGGGGTGGTGTTTGAGAAGGGGAAAAGCCTGCTAAATCCTTTGGGTTTTCAAAGAGGGAAGAGGGAAAAGCAGCACTGCCCTGTGGCTCAGAATTGGTTTTCATGTAGTTTTATCTTAATCTTTTGTTTCTGAAAAGAGAGGACAAGGATTAACAGGGATACAAAGGTCAGCCCTACACAGAAACATTACAGGACTCTATTGTTACATTCTATTTGCTTTCCAGAGTCAATTGGGAGCAGGAGGATGAGGTGGAATGCTAGGCATACCTGGGGATGCATTTATAATTGCATAGTTGGTGCTCAGCTGTCACCAAGACCTGGAATTTCTAGGCTACCATTCAGATTAGGTAATACGGCAATGCTATAGCAGTGTTCCTAATTTTGGTGGAAAATACCAGCCTCAAATAAGACTCAATCCTCAGCTTCATCATGTCAATTCTAAGAATCTTCTACATTTGCATGACTCTAATCAGTATTGCAGCCCAGAAAATAATCCCTACATGCCCTTAACTCTGCATGCTGAGGTAGTTACATAACTTAATACAAAGCCTCAGAAGGGTTGAAGAAAAAGAGACAATCAACAAAATCAATGTCAAATAATGATAATAATGATCATAATGTACTATGACTCCATAACCTATGGTGGTGTAATGAGAACTCTCCACAAAGGAGAATGAATATTAGTGTATGCTAAGGATTAGGTTTGTAGGAAGAGTTTTTGGAGGTAAGAGATTTTTTTATCCCATCACAGGCATGGGTTACACATATATACATATACTTTAAAATTCCTAGAATTGTATATCAAGAGAAAAAATGACTTGTATTTCATGATTATTTAAAAAACACTGAAATCATTAAACAAAAACTCTCCACTACACACAAATATATTGAAAGTAAATGGATCAAAAAAGATATACCATATAAACAATAAACAAAAGAAAACTGGAGTTTCTATGTCTATATCTGGAAAAATAGATTTTTAAAAAATGTGTTACTATAGGTAAAGAAGGAGTTCCATAATAATAAAGGATCAATCCATTGGGAAGGTACAAGAATTATGACTATATATACACCTAATAACAGCACCCAAAAATACATGAATCTAACCTGACAGACTCAAAAGGAGGAATAAAAGTTCAACAGTAAAAGTCAAATATTTCAATACTATTTTTCAATAATGAATAGGAAAACCAGACAGAAAATCCACAAACAACACTGTAAACCAACTAGACCCAACAGACATCTGTAGAACACCCTACAACAGAGTAGACATCCTTCTCAAGTGCACATAGAACATTCTCCAAGATAAATCCTATGCTAGGTCATAGAGCAAGTCTTAATAAGTTTAAAAGGATTGAAATCATACAAAGCATGCTTTCAAATCACAATGGAATTAAATTAGAATCAATAACAGAAGGAACTTTGGGAAATTTATCATCAGATGTGGATGTTAAATGACACCTTCCTATATAGTCAATGTGTCAGAGAAGAAATAATAAAGAAAGTAAAAAATACTTTGAAATGAATGAAAACAAAAACACAGCATACCAAAATTCACGTGGAACAGTGAAAGTACTGCTCAGAGGGAAACTTACAGCAAGGATACATGAAATAAGAAATAGCAAAACAACAGAGGAAATCAGTGGAACTAAAAGTTGGTTCTTTGAAGAGGTCAACAATATTAACAAGCATGAACTAGACTAAACAAGACAAAGCAGGTGTGGGGGTGCAGGGAGTGAGAGAACTCAAATTGCTAAACTCGGGAATGAAAGAAATGTCATCACTACCAATTGTAAGAAATAAAAAGGACTATGAACAATTGTATCGCAACAAGTTAGATAGTAGAGATGAAAGGGACAAATTAGTAGAAAGATACAAATTCCTGAAACTAACTCACGTAAACACTAGAGTTTAAAAAGCTCCATAACAAATAAAGATATCACATCCGTAACTAAAAATATTTCCATAAAGAAAAAGCCCAGACCCATACAACTTCACTAGTAAATTCTACCAAACATTCAAAGAAAAATTAAAACCAATTCCTTCACAGGCTTTACCAGTAAGTAAAGGAAGAAGGAACAATGTCTAGCTCATTCTACAAGGACAGCATCACACTGATACCAAAGTAAGATAACAACATCACAAGAAAGTAAAACTACCAGCCAGTATTCCTTGTCATTATAGACACACACAAAAATACTCAGCAAAACATTAGTAAACTGTATCCAGAAACATATAAAAAGGATCACACAAGCAAGTCAGACTTATCCTAGGAAATGTAATACATAATATTAACTGAATTTTTAAAAAAGTATGAAATGTATTTGACAAAACCCAACACTCTATTATAATAAAAACACTCAACAAACTAGGAAGAGCATAGAACTTCCTCAACCTGATAAAGGTTATCTATGAACAATTCCACAGCTAATCTTATACTTACTGTTGAACGACTGAATGATTTCCTCCTGAGATCAAGCCCAAGACAAGGATGTCCATTCTCACCAGTTCTATTCAAAATTGTACTGGAGATTCCAGCCAGGACAACTAGACAAGAGAAGGAGAAGGCACCCAGACTGGGAAGGAAGTAGTAGCAATTTTATTTGCAGATGACATGATCTTATATATAGAAAATCCTGAAGAATCCACTAAAAAATAACTATTGGAACTAGTAGGTTCATCAAGGTTGCAAGATCTGAGATCAATATACAAAAATCAATTGTATTTCTAGACACTCTCAATGTTCATTGATAATAATGTTCACCTGAAAATAAAATTTAAAAACAGTCACTTTTGTAATTAAAAAATAATTTAAAAAGAATAAATTAATTCTTTTTTAATTTGAATTTAAAAAGAATAAAATATCTAGGCATAAATTTAACAAAAGATGTGGAAAATATAACTAAAACTACAAAATATTATTAAAGAAGACTTTTTTAGATTTTTAAAAATTTATTCATTAAGAGACGTACGGAGAGAGGCAGAGACATAGGCAGAGGGAGAAGCAAGTTCCCTGAGGGGAGCCCAATGTGGGACTTGATCCCAGGACACCAGGATCACGACTTGAGCCGAAGGTAGATCCTCTCAACCCCTGAGCCACCCAGATGTACCAAGACTTCTAAATAAATGGAAAGGCTTCCCAGGTTATAAACTGGAAAGATGACATTGTTAACATGGCACTACCCCCCCCCCGCCCCCAATCTGCAAATTCAACACAATTCGTATCAAAATCCAAGCTGGCTTATCTGCAGAAATAGAAAAGCCAATACCCAAATTCATATGGAATTACTAGAGATCCCAAATGCCCAGAACAAACCCAACACAGAAAAGGAAGAATAAAGTCAGAGGACTTACAGTTCTTGATTCCAAAACTTACTGTAAAACTACAGTAATTAAGACATGTGGTACTGGCATAAGTGTACACATGTAGATCAATGGAAAAGAATTAGAGTCCAGATATAAACACCCTTGTTTAGTCAACTTATTTTTCTTTAATGGTGCCAAGATCCTTAAATGGAAGAAAAAAGGTCTTTTAACAATCATCACATGGTTTCCTTCATACGGGGAATATTATAAAAAAATAGTGAAAGGGATCATAGGGGAAAAGAGAGAAAATGAGTGGGAAAAATCAGAGAGGGTGACAAAACATAAGGGACTCCTAACTCTGGGAAACGAACAAGGTGCAGTGGAAGGAGAGGTGGGTGAGGGGATGGGGTGATTGGGTCATGGGCACTGAGGTGGGCACATGATGGGATGAACACTGGGTCTTACGCTATATGTTGGCAAATCGAACTCCAATAAAAAATACAAAAAAAAATCTATAGAGAACTTATCAAACTCAACCCAAGAAATAAACAATCCAGTCATGAAATGGGCAGAAGACATGAACAGACATTTCTCCAAAGGAGACCTATGCATGGCCAACAAGCCTATGAGAAAATGCTACGCATCACTTGTCATCAGGGAAATATAAATCAAAACCACAATGAGATACCGTCTCACACCAGTGAGAATGGCTAAAATTAACAAGACAGGAAACAACAAGTATTGACAAGGATGTGGAGAAAGGGGAACCCTCTTGCAATGTTTGTGGGAATGCAAGCTGGTGCAGCTACTCTAAAAACAGTGTAGAGTTTCCTCAAGAAGTTAAAAATAGAGCTACCCTATCACCAGTAATAGTACTATTGGGTATTTACCCTAAAGATACAGATGTAGTGAAATGATGGGACAGCTGCACCCCAATATTCATAGCAGCAATATCCGCAGTGGCCAAACTGTGGAAGGAGCCATGATGTCCTTTGAGAGATGAATGGATAAAGAAGATATGATCTATATACACAATGGAATAGTACTCAGCCACCAGAAAGGATGAATACCCACCATTTACATCGATGTGGATGGAACTGGAGGGTATTATTCTGAGTGAAAGAAGTCAGTTGGGGAAAGACAATCATCATATTGTTTTACACACATGTGGAATATAAGAAATAGTGAAAGGGGCTATAAGGGAAAAGAGAGGGACTGAGTGGGGAAAAATTAGAGAGGAAGACAAACCATGAGAGACTCCTAACTCTGGGAAACAAACAAAGGGTTGCAGAAGGGAGGTCGTTGGGGGATGGGGTAAGCTTGGTGATGGGCACTAAGGAGGGCACTTGATGGGATGAGCACTGGTTGTTATATACTATATGTTGGCAAACTGAATTTAAATAAAATATTTTTAAAAAACAACAGCAAATGGTGCTGGGACAACTGGATATCCACATGTTGAAGAATGATGTTCACCCCTTACCTCACAACATGC